CATTCTAGACAGAAATAAATGGCCTTTTTAGAAAGTGAACCATCGATAAGCAAATGTTGGCAGTTTTCTCAAAAAATGCTTGAATTCAAGAAGTTATTTATCATTAATTTTAATTAATTTCTCCAAAATTTCAGAATTTTCCAGTTTTAGCAAAGCTTCTTTTTTTCTCATTTAGCAATAAGCAAACAAAGCAATATGTTGATGGCTTTTTTGTTAGATGTTAAAATTCCGACATCGGCCCATATTGAGTTATAACCCATTGACCAATGAGTTAAAACTCATTAACTCAGAGAGCGGCAACAAACACAGTGTTGCCCAGGCCTAGTTTTTAGCTGAGAATCGCTGAAACTGAAACTTAGACACCTTGCGAGCTTATGCAGAGTAAAATTGCACTAAAAACACACACAAAAACTGAATTTCCCGTTTGAAATTACGAAGTTTTTTGCTTGCATTTACTTCTGAGTAATGGAATTGCCATCGTTCCTCTAGAGTCATCAAATATCAATAAATCATGCCCGCGCTCTAACTTTAATAGAGTAAATTGGCTCAGTCGCAACATGAAACTGCTGGCGATAATTCCTACCGTTCTGCGTGTCCTCCTCCTTCTCTCTCCTCCATTTTCCAACGCCTCCTTCAAGCGCTGCTATCTGCTTCTAGTTCTCCTTCTCCAAAGCATCGGCGTGGGCTTCGCCATCTTGAAGCCGCTGCCCAATCAGAGCTACAGCAGCAGAGCTAAAGTGCATCAGATCATGAGAGGGAAAAACCTCTTCCTCATTCTGGGCGTCTGCCTTGTCAACTACATTATCACTCTTCAGCTTGTGAGGAAACCGATCGCTTGGAAGCCACCAGTGAACAGTTGCTCGACCAGAGCAACCCAACTGGTGAGCACTTTATGGGCGCTCCTGAAGCTCTGGGAAGGTGTTCTGGTGCTCTCGGGTCCAACCTCTTTTGGAATCTACTCCGTGTTCTTCATGCTGGTTCGAGCAGAGGGCGCCTTGCTCTATATATGCGGAGAGATRCTGCAGCTGGTKCTCCAGCTGCAGCAGCTGCAAGATAAGTTGAAGCTCTGGCGKCCATTGGATGGYGTGATGCAGCTGAGCTGGCAGCACAGCCGGTTGCTGAGCGCCATTGAAAACTCCTGCAATATTTGCGGCCCGATTATTGCCAGCAGCAGCTGCTTYTGTCTTATCATGCTTCTGGATGACTTTTCCAACCTGACGATGCTGCAGAAGTTTCAAACTAAAACAGCCGTTTATATCTGGACTGTTCACACTCTTGTGGCATTTTTTGTAAGGCTCAGTGACACCAATTTTTTGCTTGTTATGTGCGGATACTCGAAAGTCCTTTTCAGATTAACATCATTTTCCTGGCCAGTGTGGGCGAGAAGTTGGCAACAACCATGCGTGCAACAGTAGCGATTTGCCAGAAAATGGGAGAAAGTCTGGATCGGGCGCTGATTCTCAGCGAGAGGGAAGAGCTGCGCTTCCAGTACCAGCTAATTGCCCTGGAAAGCCACCACAGGAACCCCAAGTTGCATGCCAGTGGATTTTTCCCAGTCGACCACTCGATGATCATTTTTATTGTCTTCAGCGTCTGCAATAATCTCGTGGCTCTTTGCCAGTTCATTTCCAAACAATCCGATTAGTGGGCGCGCTTCAATAAACYCACTCAAAGCAGTAGGCGTTTTCAATCTGCCCTGGTATGTGCAGCAGGAAAGACAAAGACGGCGAGGTTGCCGTGGCGACAGGTATGGTGCGCTCACTCCCGCTCGCACATCCGCGCCAAGCTTAAAACCAGCTTGAACGCTCAAACGAATCGGTTACCATACGAGGGGCGTTATCAACAAAGTGGCGAAACAATCAATCGGGTGCAGGAAGCACCCAACTTGAAAACATTCGTAAACAACTGAAAAATTTCATGTTTTCCGTCCCATTTTTGCTCATTTCTCGGAGGTAAAATGAGCAAGAACGCTCATTTGTACAGGCGTTTTCAATCTGCCCTGGTATGTGCAGCAGGAAAGACAAAGACGGCGAGGTTGCCGTGGCGACGGGTATGGTGCGCTCACTCCCGCTCGCACAT